TTTCTGTTTTCTACTTTTAAAGTTTGATATAAAATAAGTTGTATTGTTATAAGATACATACCTAAGAACAATAAATATAATCTCTACTATTATCATTGTAATATTGATGTTGAGCTATGTGTTATATGATAATTGTTGGATGTAAACGCAAATGTATTTCGTACGAAATAAAAATTATAATTTACTATTGTATATTTGTAAAAGTGATGATTTGGTATGTGTTATATTATGATTGTTCGATTGTTCACTTGTCTTGACGTACATGAATTTATGATGACACTTGGTTAAATATTGTGGTTTGTGTATCTCACTTTTAATTATTTATATAATTAATAAATTTTCATTGTGATTTACGCAATGTAATTATTGTTGTGTTAATATGATGATCGTGTATAATCGTGTATGGATATGATTTCTTTTTGGAATTAAATTAATTTTAATATTTATTAACGCAATAAAGGTTAAATGATTGTTTTTTTTTTTAAACGTATATATTGATATCGAAAAGTAGAAAAGGGTTCCAGAAACAGAGACCAATATCTCAACATCAACTAAAATAAAACATCGATATCTAATGAAAAAGGCCAATGATGTTAAAATCTTCTTTCACAACCAATCCGCTCATGCAACCAAGAGTGTCCTCCAAAGGCTAAATAAGAGTTGAAACGTGCATCCCGAAGAACACTTTGAGAAATGGTTAGAGCAATAGAATTCGCCGCTATCGATTCCACTTCAAAAGAGCACGAGTCGAAGTGTAATCTGAGCATATAAATTTGCGCCAACAAAGCTGTGTAACTTGGCCAATTCGTTGGCTTATTTATAGTTTCAAAGGCTGGTTGCCAATCAAGACCAATCACAACATCTCTTATGCGTAGATCGCGCAGGCTCTGCAAAGTCCATATGATACCTCGGAGTTCAGCTACAATGCGGTTGGGAGAGCAAGTGAAAGCTACTCGTGCATGAAAGTGAACATTTCCAGTATGATCTCGAAGAATCCAACCTCCACCACTTGGAATTCAAGTTACATTTGAGACTACCTGGTAATGGCGGGATCCAACGAGAATCTCTCGACTGATTCCCAGCGCCATTATTGGTCCTTCCCTCCGTATTGTGATTCAACTCATGCCACATATTAGCTTCTTCAAAAGCTTGTCTAATGATTCTACTCAAAGTCAAACTGGTTGTGCGCATAAAGGATGGAGTTTCGATTCTTCCATATATTCCATAGGATCCAAGGGATAGATATTCTAATCGTTTCATTGAGACCTGAATCATCCATTAAATCCAAGATATATGAAAGATGTGTCTTCAAAGACTAAAGAGAAACCAGCGCTGGGAAAGGAATCTCAGCAATGTTCCAAAGCTGTTGAGCTACACTGCATTCAAAGAGAACGTGGTTAATGGTCTCTGACACAACTTGCAAACAATGCCAGCGTTAATTCCTCTGGTCCGCAATCTATCAGAAACAGCAAGGGCTCCTGCAATTGCCCTCCACACAAACACACATATCTTCGGCTCTGTTTTAAGCTTCCAAGCTCGTTTCTTGAGCTCCACTTGTCTAATTTCCAGTGGTTCTTTTGGTGGAAGAGGTATAAGAGGGTGATGAGAACAAACCAATATCCACTTTTGACGGAATATGCTCCATGGTCGTTATAAGCCCAAATGTATCTATCCGAGACTCTACCAATCTGCATCATGGTGATCCTTGAGACATCATCCGGTGGGAAGAGCTCATTCAACACATCCGTTCTCCAAATTCCTTCAGGGGTAATGAGGGAAGACACCTTGAGTTCCAAGTCTATTAAACATTGTTTATTAACCGGTCTTCTAGGATGTGTCTCCATAATCCATTTCTCTAGCCAAACATTTGTCTTTGTGCCATCACCAATAGAACGTATTAAGCCCCGTTT